GCCCCTCCAAGGAACAGTCTAAAGGGCCAGCCAGCAAAAGGGCTCATCAAAGCTGTGCCCTAGGAGGGCCAGAGGCGTAGAACCCACGAAGCCAAAGCCAGTCAAGCCCGATGCGTGAGCACAAGGCTTCTCTGCAACCAAGATGCGGTTTTAAGGAGCTGGGTGTGATGTCACCATCACAGAGTGTGAGTGTGGGGACACTCAGGGATGGACTGGCAGGAGAGCCCTGCCATACTCCGATACTCCAGGGAGGATTCCTGAAGATCCGCTGTGTGCAGACAGCTGTGGGACATGCAGGGGACCCACGGCGTTTCCTGCTTGAACTCTGGACTGGTGCCAGGGCTCCCAACTCATGACGGGAGCTGGCCTTCCCCCTTCCCCACTCAGGAACCAGCCCCTTTACACAGCTCTACTGTCACTGTAGGGTGAGCATCTGCGAGAAGCCTGCTGAACGCCAGACACCTACCGACACGTCTGTGAACCCTGCCAGCCGCTCGGCCAGCCGTGATTTCTCACAACCCAGGAGGCCACCGCCTGCCGATGGGCCCTGAGGCAGACAGGCTGCTCTGGAAGGCTACTTCGGTGCCCTTGTGCTACAGACACTTCACTGTGCCTCCAGAGGCCGGCGTTTCCAACACAGGCCTACAGCCGAACGAGGAGCAACACCGCAGTCAGATCTCCTGCTGTCAGTGACCTGAGTCCCCGCGTGTCTGATGGCTACACCTGGATTTTCTCTTCTTGGAGAAATATGAGCAAATAAGTAACCAATGTTGGGGTGCCAGGCCAGCTCAGTCGGTAGGGCACGCAACTCTTGATCTTTGGGTTTTAAGTGTGAGCCCCATGTTGGGTGTAGAGAGTACTCAAAAATAAAATCTTGGGGCGCCTGGGTGGCTCAGTTGGTTAGGCATCTGACTCTTGATTTCTGCTCAGGTCATGATCTCAGGGTCGTGAGATTGAGCCCCACATCGGGCTCTGTGCTAGGCATGGAACCTGCTTGGGATTCTCTCTCCCTCCCCTTTGCCCCGCCCCCAACTCTCTCTAGCTCTCTCTAAAAAGAAATCAATCAAATCAAATCAAATCCTAAAAAAAAAAAAAACCCCACAACAACTACAAACAGCACCTAACACAAAGAAGAGAAACTCAATTTGACTTTGCTTTTTATCTCAGAAAACAGAAATATTAATTTTTAAAAAGATTTTATTTGTCAGAGAGAGTAAATCAGGGAGGGCGGCAGGCAGTGAGAAGCAGGCTCCCCGGTGAGCAGGGAGCCCGACGCAGGACTCAATCCCTGAGATCATGACCTGAGCTGAAGGCAGATGCTCACCCGACCGAGCCACCCAGGTATCCCCAGAAACATTAAATTTATCAGAGACACTTTCAGGGAAAAGCAGTATAAAAAAAATCACTGAGATAATCTTTATTCTATAATTATTTGAAGCCCACAAAAATACTTTACTTGAATATGGCTAGGGTAGAAAATTATCTTAGGGGACACCAGGGTGGCTCTGTTGGTTAAGCGTCTGCCTTCGGCTCAGGTCATGATCCCGGGGTCCTGGGATCGAGCCCTGCATCGGGCTCCTTGCTCCGCGGGGAGCCTGCTTCTCCCTCTGCCGCTCCCCCTGCTGGTGCTCTCTCTGTCAAATAAATAAATAAAATCTTAAAAAAAAAAAAAGACAATCTTAAAACCACCTAATATTTTTTTAACTGAACATACATATTTTAGGTTCAAAATCACCTTAATAATGAAACATGTGCATTTACTCCTGACCTAAAGTTACGTTTTCCACAATCATTTAAACTTAGATGTCTAAGACCCAAGAAAGAAAAAATGAGCACCGTCGTTTCTTGTTAATTCGCTCAGAGCACTGAAGCACCTCACAACACTTAACAATACAAGTCAGGTTAAACATTTTGGCATTGAACGGGATTGTCGCCACAGGACAGTGTGCAGGTTCCTGGGAGTACGGCTGTGTTAGGTCCTGAGTCACTGGGACTCCCCGGCCAGCACTCAGTGCCTACCTACCATGTAATTTAATCAAGTGGAAACAATTTAAGAGAACTTCTTGGGACTGTGGAAATGGACCCGTGGGTGCTTGTCGCTCAGTTCTTAAACTGCAGCCCACCTGCACCCCCAGAACCTCTGCCACCCCATCCCAGAGCCATGGAGATGCAGCAAGCTTACGTCACCTCTCAGGCAGGGCGCTGCTCCCACTGGCAACTGTCAAAGGAAGCTTCACTTCTACAATTTCTACTTTTTTTTAAGATATTATTTTTAATCTCTACACCCAATGTGGGGCTTGAAATGATGACCCCGAGATCAAGAGTTGCACGCTCCACTGACTGAGCCAGCCAGATGCCCCTACAGTTTTTACTTTATACTCAAAGAAAGAATCATTTATGTTTTCCTTCATCTGCACATAGAGCGTATGTTCTTTGCTCATCTTTCCAAGTCACTCTTAAAAGCAAGCATCCTTGGAACTATGGCAGCGTCCTGTGGCCTCCAAGCTGAGGGGTCCTGGTGGGGAGAGGACCCGGAGTCTCTGCACACGGCACCCTGTCACCCTGGTCACTCTGTCTGCCCTGTGCCTGCCCAAGGCCCAGCGCACCATTAGAAGGCGGCCGCTGGCCCAAGAGATCCGTGCCCCCAACCGACACCAGGGGTGTTGCACTCCCCCACTGCAGAGGTCTGGGTGGTCTGTTTCTGGAGATCTTTGGCTGCTGCTTTTTTTTTTTTTTTTTAAAGATTTAATTTATTCATTTGACAGAGAGAGACACCACAGCGAGAGAGGGAACACAAGCAGGGGGAGTGGGAGAGGGAGAAGCGGGCTTCCCGCCAAGGAGGGAGCCCGATGCAGGGCTGGATCCCAGGACCCTGGGATCATGACCTAAGCTGAAGGCAGATGCTTAACCAACTGAGCCACCCAGGCGTCCCTATTTTTTTTTTTTTTTTTTAATAATCTCTACAAACACAACGTGGGGCTCGAACTCACAACCCTCAGATCTAGAGTCACATGCTCTTCCGACTGAGTCAGCCAGGCACCCCTGGAGACCTCTGGCTTCTAATGGTCACCTACCCCCTGCCTGTGACTAGAGCTCATTTGAGTAAGTTTCTGTTCCTTGAAATCTCAAGACACTTGCCTCTAGGAGCCATGAGGATGTCAGGAAGTTAAGTTATGGAGACCGGCAAGGAGAGCAACAGTTGGTGAAAACTCTTACACAGCGTAAGTACTGACACTGGGTCACTAAGCCACCAGCTGAAGGGCAGAATCCATCGGCTCAAGGGTCCAGGGAACAAGCTTTCTGGAACACCGAGCTAACAAGAACCCTGAGACAACAGGATCTCAACATCGCAGAGTGTGATTCAGGATACACCTGTGTCTGAAAAGGCCTTTTACCAACAGCACACATGTATGGTTGTTCAATAGTCCCACAGGTTACAAAATACATCAGCTTTTCAAACCGTCCCTCTACCTTCACACAGAGTCACATACAACACAATGTGTCTTTAACAGTTTGTGATGATGTGCTCACACACACGCCTTTACCACCCACTGGAACTCACCTTCCTGAAAAACCAATTTTCTTTCAGATGGTCCACTTGTCTTTTTTTTTTAAAGATTTATTTCTTTTGAGAGAGAGAGAGAGAAGCAGACTCCCCGCTGAGGACGGAGCCTGATATGGGGCTCGATCCTGAGCTGAAACCAAGAGTTGGATGCCCAACTGACTGAGCCCCCCAAGCACCCAGGTGGTCCGCTTGTCTTTTGCTGTTACTATGGAAAGTCACCCTCAGAGTCCTTAAGAATTGATGTGCAAAAAGAAGTAGAAACGATACCACTGCAAGTTTCTATTTATTCCAATGTGATACCATCCCAGACAAAGACAATGTTCAAATAACTTTCAAGTCAGTGAAGTTGATGGGATAAAGGAAGAATTAAAAGCTTGCATGGGACACCTGGGTGGCTCAGTCGTTAAATGTCTGCCTTCGGCTCAGGTCATGATCCCAGGGTCCTGGGATCGAGCCCCGCATCGGGCTCCCTGCTCGGTGGGAAGCCTGCTTCTCCCTCTCCCACTCCCCCTGCTTGTGCTCCTGCTCTCGCTGTGTCTGTTAAATAAATAAATAAAATCTTAAAAAAAAAAAAGGCTTGCTCCCTGCTGGTTCTCCCTTTCCCTCGTTTCTCTGAGGACGCACATAGTGCCACACACTCTGGTGACAGGTTGAGAATCTGAGCTCAGCAGGGGTATGGTGTGAATAAACGATACGGTGTTATTTCTATCCAACTCCATGTTCCACGCTGGTTGGTGCATGTCCGCCACCCTCTGGGGACCTGGGTTAACAGCATGGAGCATGACTGCCCCATGCAGCATTCCTGGGGAGACAAGGCATTTGGCGGGGTGCAGCATGATGGCCCTCCTGGGCAGATGCGAGGCTGATGAGATTCTCAGATGCACCCCCATTCATCCACCAGCCCTTGAAAGCCTCCATGGAAGGGGGGTGGTGACATTCTTCCTCTGGCTTCTGAGTTTTCTCCTTGGAAATCATCTTTGCTCCCAGCAGCTTAGAAGCCGCAGAAGAAATCTGGGCTTATGACTGTATTATCATGCCTCGCTCTGTAATAGAAACTGTTTGCCAAGTAGCTTTTGGTTAATTCCACATAACTCATGGGTCCTCAGAGGATACGCTCGCTAACAAGGCCTGGCTCCGAAGGCCAATTCCCTGCTGTCGAGGCAGGTATCTTCCTCTCCTGCAAGCCAGGATGCCCCCACATCACAGGGCTGCACAGGTGCAAGCGTCCCAGGACAGCTGGCGGTTCTTCAGGGCATGGACCGGGGCCTCCAGGAACTCACGGCCCGCCGGTCATGTGAGAGCATAATACATAGGACTGCAGCCAGCTTCCAAATTATTCCCATCAGTGGAGTCACACATGCAGGTCAAAGTACACTAATATTTTTATATTGTTCTATTTCAAATTGGTAGAATTCAAAAACACAGAACACGGGTACACAGTGCTTGTGTTTTATTTAACATCATGTCCATGACCCAGGGCCAGCTTGGAATCCACAGTCAGGACAGAGTCACATGGCCCACAGCTCACCAGGATTCCCATTCTCCCAGTCCACCCTGTGCTGACATAAGCCGAGGGCCCCCATAAAGTAGGTGTGGGACTCAGTTCACTTACAGGTTTTTAGAGCCCTTGTAAAATGGATTCCCAGAGCAGCCGCTTCTCCCAGAAAACTCCAACAGCAGTGGTGGGAGGGTCAGAGTGGGCGGGTCAGGGTGGGCTCCTAGGTGCTGGTCTTTGGTTTTGGTCTAAGCTTGTTCCAAACTCTCTCCAGGGCCACTTTTCCCATGAAGAAGGTGATGGCAAAATTACGCTTGTACCAGTCTCTACAGAGAAACAAGAGAAGCACATGTGACCGCCCCCACAACTGAGGACTAGCGCCCAGGCCTCTGAGGGGAGTTCCCGGCCCACAGGCAAGTCCTCCTGACCACCCTCCACCTTTCCCCACTGTCTCTTCCCTTTTCTGCCCTCATTAAAGCTAAACTGGCCTAAGAGCCTTCCTTCCTCCCCCCGGATTGAATAAGGCTGAGAATAAGGCTCAACAAAGTGAATGCCCAGCGCACCCCAACCCCCACCTTTTCCTATTCTGCTGCAATCCTCTGGTTTTTGCTAAAAGACTCCAAAAGAGAAGCCTGGGGCCTCCAGAGTCCCGTGGCATTCCTGGAGAGAGACAACTGTTGAGTGATGGGGGCGTAACCACTGGGCAAACAACTGGCAGCACTCAGTGGGGACAATGCTGGTGGGGCATCTTATTTGCATGAGAAGCACAGGACAGAGTACTCCATCATGAGAAGTTAATTTACCACGAGTGCCGACATCATAAAGCTCCACATCACCTTTTTCTAAATGATCTGAGCTTTTGTGTAATCCGTGTCTCTAAGGAGAGAGTTCCAGAGCTTCTCATACAAATACTGGGATGGAGTTCACAGTCTCAGGCTCACTTGCTCATGCGTTACTGTACAAAACATGCCGAAAATTGCAAATTCACCCCACTGCTCAATGGGCCAAGCTTGGAAAGTTTCCACAATAGAATGCACACATTCCAGACTCTTATGATGCTAAGCCCCTGGAAGCTGAAATGCCAATTAGTACCAATGCTTTTCAGCCAAATGAGCTAATGAGTGCACATGGGACTTTTATTTCAGACTGGACTCAAAGATTTACTGGGTCTCCATACAGAAGGAAGGAGAGTGACCAAGGGCTCAAAAGAAGCAGTACCAAGAGGTAAAAGTGCTCCTTTTCTGGAGCCTTTGCAGTGGCTGGATAGAAAACCCCTCTCCTCATGAGAACGATCTTGTTTCTATCCACTTAATTGATGTTATAAATGGGAAGCAGTGCCGTAAATGAACAAGAAAGGCTTCCATCCCATCGAGATTAAAGTTCTTATGTTACTAAGGAACAGCCAGATTCTACTCCATCAATACTCTGATAAAGTGTAGGGAAACTCAGCTTTTCCCGCTTCCATAGGGAAGGCAGGGCAGGAGGTGGCGTGGGCACAGAAGGGGAGGCTGAGGCCCCTCTGCTACCTGCCATCCAGTAAGGCTGGTCCTCTCTGCTCTGAACGCCACACAGCACACACCCAGCTCACCGGGGATGAGGTGTGGTGCAAACATGGTACGGTCCACATCAGAAATCAAAGGTCTAGAGAAATAAAACTTATACTGGCTTGACTGAATAACTTAGCTAGCTCAGGGTAACAGGACTACACACTAGTCCACTGTGCACATACTGCGAGACTCATCTGTCTGCTGTTGGTCTCTTGAGCTCGCCAAGCCTCAACCACTACCACCATCCTCTAGACCTTACCTCCCTGCCTGGCCTGACACCGCCACTGTTACCTTTTCAAGCAAATCTCAAACGTCATAGCCTATCATTTCACCTGGAAATACACATTATGTATCGTTAAAACCCTTTTTAAAAACATGTAACCACAATACTACCATTGCATTTGATAAAATGAACAATAACATACCAATACAACCTAATATACAGCCACTGTTCAATTTCCTCTAACAAAATATCTTTTACAGGTGGTTTGTCTGCATCAGGACCCAAATAAGGACCATACACTGCATGAAGCCTCTTTTAATCTGAAGTAGATCCCCCTCCTGTTTAAAATTCTAGTTACTGGGGTGCCTGGGTGGCTCAGCCGTTAGGCGTCTGCCTTTGGCTCGGGTCGTGATCCCAGGGTCCTGGGATCAAGCCCCGCATCGGGCTCCCTGCTCTGCGGGAAGCCTGCTTCTCCCTCTCCCACTCCCCCTGCTTATGTTCCCTCTCTCGCTGCATCTCTCTCTGTCAAATAAATAAATAAAATCTTTAAAAAAAAAAATATTCAAGATTTAAAAAAAAAATAAACACTTACCTGTTATAATACATGTGCTTCAGAAAATTTTTACGTAAAAATTCCTTGTAAAAGTCAGCCATTTCTTCTGCATCTAATGTTGCTTTTTGACCTGAAAATTAATTTCAATTTAAACATTAAGACTTGGGGCGCCTGGGTGGCTCAGTCAGTTAAGCGACTGCCTTCGGCTTAGGTCATGATCCCGGAGTCCTGGGATTGAGCCCCCACATCAGGCTCCGTACTCAGCAGGGAGCCTGCTTCTTCCTCTCCCTCTGCCTGCCTGATCCCCCTGCTTATGCTCTCTGTCAAATGAATAAATAAAATCTTCAAAAAATAAATAAATAAAAATAAACATTAAGACTTAACAGGGAGAAACCCACACACTACTATTAATCTAATAGAGGTCAGCAAGATGCAGGATACAAGATCAAAATACACACATCAACTGTATTTTTCTAAACACCAGCAATAAACAATCCAAAAAATGAAATTAAGAAAACAATTCCAGGGGTGCCTGGCTGGCTCAGTCAGTGAAGCATGCAACTCTTGATCTGGGGGTTGGGAGTTTGAGCCCTACGCTGGGCATTAAGTTTACTTAATTAAAATATATATATATATAAAGAAGAAATAAAACAATTTCATTTACAATAGAGTCAAAAATAATAAAGGACCTAGGAATAAATTTGAGAGGAAGTGTAAGACTTACACACTGAATACTATAAAACACAGCTAAAAGAAATGAAAGAAGACATGAATAAATAGAAAGACATCCCATGTTCATGGTTTTAAAGACTTCATACCGCTGAGATGGCAACACGTCCCAAATTGACACATAGGTTCAATACAATCCCTCTCAAAATCCCAGCTGGCTTTTGGCAGATTGACAAACAGATACTAAAATTCATGTAAAAATGCAAGGAAACCCAGCAGCCAAAACAATCTTGAAAAAGAAGAACAACATTGGAGGATTCACCTTTCTCAACTTCAAAACTTACCACAAAGCTACAGTAATTAAGACAGTGTGGTACTGACACAAGGACAGGCCTCAGAGTCCAGAAATAACCGCAAACATTTACGAGCAAGTGATTTTCAATGAAGGTAACAAAATAATTCAATGGGGGGTGGGAGGGTGGGAGACAGCCTCTTCAGCAAGCAGTGCTAGAATACTAGAAAGTCACATGCAAAAATATAAAGTTGAATCCCTACCTCACACCATATACAAACACACCCTCAAAACGGGTCAAAAACCTAAATGTGAGAGTTAAAACTAAAAAACTCTTAGAAGAAAACAGGGACAAATCTTCATCTCCTTGAATTAGTCAGTGCATTTTAGGTATGACACCTAAAATACAAGCAAAGAGAAAATAGATGAATTGGACTTCATCAAAATTTAAGACTTCTGTGCTTCAAAGGGCATTATCAAGAAAGTAAAGAGACAACCTACAGAATGGGAGAAAATATTTGCAAATCACCTACTTAACATAGGTCTCACATCCAGAATATGTAGAAAACGCTTAAAACAACAAAAAGAGAATAACCCACTTTAAAAATGGGCAAATGACTTGAATAGATATTTCTCCAAAGAAGATATACAAATGGCCACTAAGAACATGAAAAGATACTATCATTAAGTCATTAGGGAAATTAAAAAAAAAAAAAAAACCAATAAGATACCATTTCACATCCACCAAGACAGCTATAATGCTAGACTAACTAGACAGTAGTAAGAAGTATTGATGAGGACATGGGGAAACCGGACCCTCACACACTGCTGGGGGGGGATGTAATATGGTGCAGCCACTGTGGAAAGTAGCCTGGCAGTTCCTCAAAAAGTTAAACACAGAGTTATCATATGACCCAGCAATTCCACTTATAGGTATGATACACAGTTGCTCACAGCAGCAGTCTTTGTAATAGTCAAAAAAGCGGAAACAACCCAAATGTCCATCAACTGATGGATAAACAAAATGTGGTCTATCCATATAATAGAATATTGTTCAGCCATAAAAAAAAATCTTTGAAATCCTGGTCCATGCTACAACATGGATGAACCCTGAAAACACGCACTCAAGTGAAAGAAGACAGACACTTGGGGCGCCTGGGTGGCTCAGTTGTTAAGCATCTGCCTTTGGCTCAGGTCATGATCCCAGGGTCCTGGGATCGAGCCCTGCATCGGGCTCCCTGCTTGGCGGAAAGCCTGCTTCTCCCTCTCCCGCTCCCCTTGCTTGTGTTCCTGCTCTCGCTGTGTCTCTCTGTGTCAGATAAATAAATAAAATCTTAAAAAAAAAAAAAAGTCCGACTCTTGATTTTGGTTCAGGTCATGATCTTAGGGTCATGGGATTGAGCCCCACGGCAGGCTCTGTGCTCAGCACAGAGTCTGCTTGTCCCTCTGCTCCCCCCACTGCCCTGCTGTTTGCATGCACTCTCTTTCAAATTAATAAGTAAAATCTTTAGGGGCACCTGGGTGGCTCAGTCGTTAAGCATCTGCCTTCGGCTCTGGTCATGATCCCAGGGTCCTGGGATCAGGCCCCGCATCGGGCTCCCTGCTCCGTGGGAGGCCTGCTTCTCCCTCTCCCACTCCCCCTGCTTGTGTTCCCTCTCTCGCCGTGTCTCTCTCTGTCAAATAAATAAATGGAATCTTTAAGATAAATAAATAAATAAAATCTTTAAAAAAAAAAAAAAGGCAGACACAAAAGACCACGTATTATATGTTTCCATTTATCTGGAAAGACCCAGAAAAGGCAAGTCCATAAAGACAGAAATAGATTAGTGGCTGTCAGGAGCTGGTGGGAGGAAGAAATTGGAAGTGACTGCCAGTGGGAATAGGGTTTCTTCTGGGGTGATGAAAATGTTCTGGAATGAGATATGGTGATGGCTGTGCAATCCTGTGAATACTAAACACTACTGAATTGTAAATAAAATGTGAATTTTAGGGGTACCTGAGTGGCTCAGTTGGTTAAGCGTCTGCCTTCAGCTCAGGTCATGATCCCAGAGTCCTGGGATCGAGCCCCGAGTCAGGCTCCCCCGTGAGCCGGGAGCCTGCTTCTCCCTCTCCCTCTGCCTGCCGCTCCCCCTGCTTGTGTTCTCTCAAATAAATAAACAAAATCTTTTTTTAAAATGTGAATTTTATGGCATGTGAATTCTATCTCGGAAAAGGAAAAAGCCTTAGGGAGAAAATGACCTATCACCAGACTGGGACAGTTCCAGTGTAGCTCAATTTCCTCAGGACTACCGCAAGTGCAGGTGTGCATCTACCAATGTGCATCATGTGTGATATGCTTCATCGTGTCTACTCCAACGCCTTCTGAAGCTTCCAACAAGAAACGCGAGCGATCCGCATAAGGGAAATGGAATACTTCCTCACTTTGAATGCATCCTGGCCTGGAGCAGACACCGGCCTAACTGTTCAATCTCTGAGCCAGTGAGCACACACTGAACCAGGTAATGCATTAGGTGCTGGTGGGGACTGGTGACACACAGTGACTGACCCGGCCACCTCCATGGTGCTGTGTGGTGGGAGGTGCCAACCATGGCGCCCACCCTCAGAGCTCCCCCACCAGATTTAAAAAGGCCACACAGGACAGGAACCAGAGAGCAGCCCACAGGCCAGTGTCAGGACACCAAGTGATGGCTCAGAGTGAAGGCACTCTGGCTCTGAAGCCCCAAGCCCCAAACAGGTCCCACCATCTCTGCAGGAGCCTGGAACTGCCCCCGGGGGTTCCTGCACATGTGGGGAGGCCCATGTTCAAGCTCCGACCTCAGCTTTAGCATGCTTGCCCTTGCAGACGCTGTCTCCAGGTGGAGGCCATGTTTCCCAGCGGCACAGCTGAGGTCGGTGCTCCATCCCTATCAGGATCTGGGGGAGACAGAGCTGGGAAGGTAACTCAAGGGCACATTTCCACAGAAGCAGAAGGGAAAGTGGCTGACCTTTTATACGTACAACATAGACGCTAACACTCAGGTGGCATGGCCCAAGCATGTGTCTGTCCCCTCACAGAGGATGAGCACACACCCCTTCCAAATCGTAACCCGGGGCCTGCCTGAGTAAACAGCAGTGTGTTCCACACGTCCTCACTCCTCTGACCCAGCCTCTTACAGTTCCTCAAAACCTCCATCTGGGGGAGCAGCAGCTCAAATTTCCCCTAGCTGCCTTTCCTCAGCCCGGCCTTCTCTGAGGCCTTGGTACAACACCCACTCCCCCCTCCACTTCCCTGTTGTTCTTCATACCCTAGGAGTGTGGCACGCGTCCACTGAGCTACCTGTTTGTGGGTCACACTCCCAGCGCGCATCAGAGTGTCAGCGGCACGAGGCAGGCTACAGCTGTCCGTCTCATCCACTACAAGGTCCCGGCGCCTAGCTCGGCACACAGAAACTACTGGGCAAGTACCTCAAATCAACAAATAGATCGATGGTAAGTGGGACAAGAAAGAGAACCACCAGCTGCCCAAGAAGGGGAGGGAGATGTCACCCAGGGAAGGTGACATTTGAGCTGGGTCTCATAGGATGAATAGGAGCCCACAGTGTAGAGAAGGGAGAACACAGGTCACAAGCCATGGACCAGCACGGAGGAAATAAAGGGTCTGGAGAGGCACAGATGTGACTGAACAGAGTGAGCGAGGAGGAGGGTGGTCAGGGCCTGAGCGCGGTGACAGGGCCAAGAAATAGAACCCCTGGCTCGAGCACTGGGGTCTTCTGGACAAGGAGTCTTGGGAGGAAAGGCATGTGTGCACCCTCACCTCGGCTTCCCGGCACATGTCTCTGTGGCCTTGCCCGCGCCCATGAGAAACTAAAGACATGCCAGGGGTTAGCACCCCCCCTCAGATGAAGCTCTGTCCCTCACTGGCAGACGGCCCAGAACTTTGGCCCCTCTCAGATCTAGAACGTGGATCACAACAGCACACATCATACGGCTGCTCTGAGACCAGATGAGCTGTGGCCAGTGTGGTGGGCAGGACGGGGCCTGGCACAGGGCGCTCGCTTGTTACCACTGCTGGCAAAACGGTAGGAGCCCCAGGGTTCTAAGGAAGGTCAGGTGCCATCTTCATCTGCTGGTCTGGTGCGGTGTCTTGTCCAAACACCCCAAAGCCAGAGCTCAGCACAAAGCAGAAGCATCAGAAATGTGCGCTAAGTAATTCAGATCCCGTGCCTACCAACACTGCAACGTGCTACTGAGCTCTAATGAAAGCAAGCAAAGGAAGGAAGGCAGCATAACCTACCTCATTATACGCCTACTGAAAACCCGGTGCGGGGTTCATATATACCAGCTGGCTTTCCCACTGCATGAAAACTTACTTTTGCAACAAAAGAAATTAGAGGCAAGAATCCTCCCACTGCACTGCTGCTCTACAAATGAGACTTAATTTGGGGACAGGCAGAGCTGAAATCATGGTGTTCTGCTTCTTGCACTGGAAATTCAGTAATTTTTCTACATTGTTGCAGAATATTCCAGTGAACATCCACCAAGTGGGAGGGCCACTTATCTAATCTGTGATTACTGGAATTTAGATACTTCCTCCCAGCTTTTTTTTTGCAATTAAAGGTAATGCTGTGGGGGCGCCTGAGTGGCTCAGTCGGTTGAGCATCCGAATGTTGATCTCCGCTCAGGTCTTGATCTAGGGGTTGTGAGTTCGAGCCCCACCCGTGTTGGGCTCTGGTGCTGGGTATAGAGCCTACTTAAAAAAAAAAAAAAAGATAACGTTGCAAGGAACAAGCAGCTGACTCTTCTCATGTCTTCCTCTAGGATGCTTTCTTAGATGTCCTGTGATCAAAATTCTCCTGCTTCTTGGCATATGTGTGCTGCCTGCAGTCACGTCCTTCTGGAAAGAAGGCTGGAACGTTCTCCTGCCGCCGACCACCTCCGAGCGCTGTACTGCACTGTCCCTCCAGCAGCACGGACCCTGCTCACGGGAGACGCCCCAGGAGTTCAGTGAGCACACAGCGACTCCTGGGTGCTGGTCCAATACACACTGTAATCTGCAGCCACACCCCTCACCCACGCGTTCTCTGTCATTTCTACAAACTGGTTCATGCTCTTCAGCAAGACTGCCCCTGGCATCTCTGCTCTATCATCTGCTGTTCCCGTGTCACTGGTTTCCTGGACGCAACCCTCTGTCCAGCCCCCTGGTTTACACTGGCCTTGCGCCGCCACCAGGCCCCGTTTCCACAGCAGCAGCCGCGCTCACTCAACACAAGCCCCTGAGCCTCGGCCTCCCCGATTCCAGGGCTCCTCCCCACGGGCCCCCAGGCCCTGCCCCAGGAGAGCCTCCGAGGCTGCACCCTGCCCTTGAACTAGGGAGGTATACTGAGAGTTGGAGAAAGCCCATTCACGGCAAGAGAAGGCTGAGGCCTGGGATGGAGTGCTGTTTATGGCTCCAGCGGCTGAGAGCAGGCCACGCCTGGGCCAGGCTCTACCCCAGCCTGGGCCTGAGCCACCTGTGTCCCCTAAGCACACTCCTTTACAGAAAGATCAAAAGGAGTCCTCCCAGGGCACCTGGCTGACTCAGTCAGTGGAGCATGTGACTCTTGATCTCGGGGTTGTGAGTTCGAGCCCCACATTGAGTGTAGAGATTGCTTAAAAATAAATTTTTTTAAAAGATTTTATTTATTGGGGTGCCTGGGTGGCTCAGTCGTTAAGCGTCTGCCTTCGGCTCAGGTCATGATCCCAGGGTCCTGGGATGGAGCCCCGCATCAGGCTCCCTGCTCAGCCGGGAGCCTGCTTCTCCCTCTCCCACTCCCCCTGCTTGTGTTCCATCTCTCACTGTGTCTCTCTCTGTCAAAAACTAAAATCTTTAAAAAACAATAAAAATAAAATGGCAAAAGTAGCAGGACCTACTTCGTTTGGTCACTGTGGGAAATAAAAAGATGACACAGGCAAAGGACTTAGCATAGTACCCAGCATGGTCAGGGTCTGAAATTGTGAGCCATTATTCTACACTTACTGTTAGGACCCAGCACCCTCTCCTGCTGGCTCCCGCTCACCAAGACAGCACCTTGATGACAGCAAATAGCAGAGCCCATCATCACCAGCTCTGTAGCCTAAATAGATCCAGGTGAGGTGAAGGATTAGCAGGGAGAGAGGGACAGTGCTTTAGGCCAATGACAGACGTGCCTTTTGGGGTCAATGGCTTCAGATTTTCCATGAGAACAATGTTTTGACAGTAGAAATTTGTTTAACAAACAGTATGAAATGTTATTCAGGCCTAACATCAACAGCAAGAGAAAATGATCAAAGGTTTTTTTGAGCACTAGATCTTCTATCCAAAAAAGAGCAGGCAGGGGCACCTGGGTGGCTCAGATGGTTGGGCGTCTGCCTTCGGCTCAGGTCATGATCCTGGGGTCCTGGGATCGAGTCCCGCATCAGGCTCCCTGCTCCTTGGGAGCCTGCTTCTTCCTCTGCTTCTTTCTCTCTCTCTCCCTCTCTCTCTCCCTCTGTCTCTCATGAATAAATAAATAAAATCTTAAAAAAAAAAAAAAAGAGCAGGCAGCTCAGTAGACAGAGGGGACCGAATGGAGCAGAGCATTCCCGTCTGTCAAGCACACAGCACGGGGGACGAGACATGAAAGAGGGGAGCCGGGTTGGGAGTACAGCTGCCATTCTGTAGTCGTGGGGGTCTGAAAACCTAAGCTAGGCAACAAATGTCAAATCTGCATGTGGGGAAGGACAGTCTGGCTACACTACAAAGAATGAATGTGAGGCAGGAGTTGATAAGCTACAGCCTGCAGGCCAAATGTGGCCCACCACCCCTGCTCTTGTAAATAAAGTTTTACTGGAACACATTCATGCCCACTAGTCTATGGATTTTCCATGGCTGCCCTCCCACAACAGCAGAGCTGAACAGTTGAAACAGAGACCCCACACAGCCCAGAAAATGAAACTATTTACTATCTCGCCCTTTACAGAAAGTTTGCAGACCCCTGATTTACAGACTGGAGGTCAAGGACCCAATCAGAAAGCCGCTGCAGTAGTCACAGACGTCACAAAGGCCTGAACGAAAGCAATGTTTCAAGGACAGGGAGCGGTCAGAGTACTGAGAAATGTTTAATAGGTCATCCCACAGAGAAATGGGAGGTGAGGGAGGGGGATTTGAGGCGGACTCCCATGAGGTTTGCGGCTCCTGGGGGCTGGCGGGGCTATGAACTGAGGTCAGGAATGCAGGAAGTGGAGCTGGTATAGGAGAGAAAAACGCTGCGGGAAGCCATGGGACCTTGGGATAGATGTTCAAAGGTCGGAGGGAAGTCATCGATCAGAATGACCTAAAATCGGGAGAGGGATGATCTCCCCAAAAGAGGAAAGAGGGAGCAGGGGGAGGGCAGGCCCCCTGTACACTCAGAGCCCCTGCCCCGAAGGAGACCACAACTTGCCCCCTCAGCTGTCTCTCCTTCATCCGACAGCCTTTCTTTTTCTCTTTTTTTGACGGGGGGGGTGGGGGGGTGGGGGGGAGGGGCAGAAGGAAAGAGAGAATCCCAAGCCGACTCCCCACCAAGCGTGGAGCCCGACAATAAGGGGCTCGATCTCACGACCCTGAGATCAGGACCAAGAGTTGGCACTCAACCAACTGCGCCACCCAGGCACCCCTGACATCCTTTCTTTTTTTCTTCTTACGCAGTTACTCCAACAAACACAATGTTAGGAGAAAAAGGACAAATGAACTAACCTGATCCGGCTCTCAGTTCCAGGCCTCTAGCTTTTAGCCTTGAGCGAATAAATTCTTCTTTTTCCTAAAAGAAGAAAATCATCAGAATGCCCTTTTTTCATCTTTCCATCTGTCCTTGGCTAGGACGCAGCTTGAAGTGTTCTGGACAAGTGTGGATGGAGATTTCTAAGAACGGACCCATCTCCAAACCTGGCTTAAGCCATCTGAATATGGTTTAAAGTCCCCTGCTTGAAGTAGGATTTGAGAACAAGATGTTTAATAAACTTTGGGAGGTACTGTTTATAAATCCACAGAATAAAATAAATATAATCCATTTGACATAGCCCGCCCAAACAGTAGGACATATAAAGCTTAAATACGTTCCTTCTGGATTAGAATATTTCTACTTCTTTCTCATATAGTTCATTTACAATATGCTGTTAAGAATTCTGAATCCTGGGCGCCTGGGTGGCTCAGTTGGTTAAGCGACTGCCTTCGGCTCAGGTCGTGATCCTGGAGTCCCGGGATCAAGTCCCACATCGGGCTCCCTGCTTGGCAGGGAGTCTGCTTCTCCCTCTGACCCTCTTCCCTCTCGTGCTCTCTATCTCTCATTCTCTCTCTCTCAAATAAATAAATAAATAAAATCTTTAAAAAAAAAAAAAAGAATTCTGAATCCTCAGAATGAAATCACATCACAAAAACCCATATTTTCAGGACGCCTGGGTGGCTCAGTTGGTTAAGCGTCTGCCTTTGGCTTGGGTCATGATCCCAGGGTCCTGGGACCAAGTCCCACATCAGGCTCCTTGCTCAGCGGGGAGTCTGCTTCTCCCTCTGCCTGCCTCTCTCTCTCCAACAAATAAATAAATAAAAGCTCTAAACAAAAACAAACCCATATTTTCATAAACACACACACAGACCTGTTCTAGTTCTGGCTCTGCTACTCCTTTTAACTACTTGAAAGCCTCAAGATCTGTGATGTTACGATGCTCAGTATTTCTTATGTACAGTTACAATATTGACTTAAAAATTATACACGTACATACATTCACATACGTTTATTCGTGTGTGAGAGGGAAGGGAGAGAAAGGAAAGGGAGGGAGGGACCAAGGCTGACCAAGTAACAGAAAGGCAAAGACTAAGGATTTAGCGCCCCCACGTGGCCACCTGTGTTATTTCTTTCTCACTTGGCCCTCTGATCTAAGCTTACCTTACGAAATGTCAAATTCTGGTTTGCCCAGAACTGTTGGTTCCATTCTTGTGTTTCTTGTCTTAATTGTCTTAGCTTTTGTTCCAACGGTGATTCGTTTTCGGGGACGTAAAAGTAAACGGGTCGAAGGTTTGAATGTTTATCTGGGGGTCCTATCCAATCATGGCAAGATTTTCTTGGAGGGCAGAATCCTGAGACCTTTAACAAAATGCACAGGGTTAACATAAACTAAACGAATCCAGAGTAGTATAAAATGAACAGTCTAGATTTATTAAAGTCCCTCATTAGCTTCCTCTGTTTAAGACTATCTGTCAGAGAATATCCAAGTTAAAAGAACTATAATAAATTTATTTTTTTTTAAGATTTTATTTATTTATTTGACAGAGACACAGCAAGAGAGGGGAACACAAGCAGAGGGAGTAGGAGAGGGAGAAGCAGGCTTCCCACGGAGCAGGGAGCCCAACGTGGGGCTCGATCCCAGGACCCTGCGTCACTACCCGAGCCGAAGGCAGACGCTCAATGACTGAGCCACCCAGGTGCCCCACTATAATAAATATTATTAACATGAACATTATACAGAACATGTTCAAGAATGGCACTGGGGTAATTCAATCCTAATGCAAAAAAAAAAGAATCTCAAACTTACTTTGTACTGTATACAAAACTAACTCAAAATGGATCAAAGACCTAAATGTAAAATCTAAAACTATAATACCTCTAACTTCTAAAGCAGTAGAAAATGTTTACAACCTTAGACTAGGCAACGATTGCTTAGATACAACACCAAAAGCACAATCCACAAAATAAAACAGACAAGCCACAGACTGGGAGAAAATATATGTAAATCTGAAAAAGGACTTATTCCCAGAATATATAAAATTTCTCAAAACTCAATAATAAGAAAACAGACAACCCAATTTAAAAATGGGCAAATTAGCCAAATAAAACTTTCTCCAAAGAAGATATACAGATGGCAAATAAGCACATAAAAGCATGCTCAACATTACTAGTCCTCAGGGAAATGCAAACCAAAACCACAATGAGATATCACTACACATCCTTTAATATGGCTAAAACCACCCCCAAAAGCATTTGACAATAGCAAGTGCTGTTGAAGATGTAAAACACGTGAGCTCTTACACATCGCGGGTGGGAATGCAAACTGGTGCAGCCACTTTGGAAAAAAGCTGGCAGTCCATTACACATTAAACATACACCTCACATATAACCCAGCAACCCACTCCTACGTATTTATCCAAGATGAACAAATACATACATTCACACAAAAGCTTGTATGTGACTGCTAAAAGTGGCTTTATTTATAATTGCCAAAAGCTGACAAGAGCCTAAATGTCCTCCCACTGGTGAGTGGAAAAACAAAGTATGGTGCGTCCACACAATGGGTGCTCTTCAACAATAGAGAACTATGTGCAACACAGATGAATCTCAGATGCATCGTGTTCACTGAAAAAGCCACATCAAGAGGTTGCATACCGTAGGATTCTACTCATAGGACATTGTGGAAAAGACAGGTGCTGGGTGGAGGAAGCAGCTGACTACAAAGGAATTTTCTGGGCTGATGAAAATGTTCTCTATCTTGAATTGCGGTGCTGGTGCACACGTCTGTCAGGAGTGAGTGTTGCTGTATATAAATTGGGCTTCAATAAACTCGATATTAAAACAAAAAGATGACTTGAGTAGTCAAAAGACTAGCTTCTCCATTTGTCCGTTAAAAGATCAATGTAACCAAAACTCATGGGGAAAGTATCACTCAATTTAGAAATCTCTTATAAGTTACTTAAAACAACAACACACTGCTGACCGTGACTTCTACCTCCAATAACAGAGCATCTCCCATGCACCCTCCCTGCATCAAAAACTGGAAAACCAGCAGCAACAGAAAGGAGCATGGATGAGTCTTAGAACAATATACAGACCAAAAGAGCCAGGCACAAAAGAGGATGTGCTATGGGATTGTACTGTGTGGCATTCTAGGAAAAAAATTAGTCACATCAGTGATTGTCAGAGTTGAGGGTGGAAGGGATTGCTCTTACTGGGGTGGCAACTGCAAAGATTCATGTTTGTTAAAACTCATCAGATGTACACTTTGAATGGGTGTACTCATTTCACTGCATACAAATTACACCTCAAAGTCAATTAAAAGAATGGTTAAAACTTACACCAGGGGCACCTGGGTGGCTCAGTGGTTAAGCGTCTGCCTTCGGCTCAGATCATGATCCCAGGATCCCGCATTGGGCTCCCTGCTCAGCAGAGAGTCTGCTTCTCCCTCTCCCATTCCCCCTGCTTGTGTTCCCTCTCTCGCCGCGTCTCTCTCTGTCAAATAAATAAAATCTTTAAAAAAAAAACAAAAAAAAAAAACACTTACATACACCAAAAAAGGGGCACCTGGGTGGCTCAGTTGGTTAAGCGACTGCCTTCGGCTCAGGTCATGATCCTGGAGTCCCGGGATTGAGTCCCGCATCGGGCTCCCTGCTCAGCAGGGAGTCTGCTTCTCCCTCTGACCCTCCCCCCTCTCATGTGCTCTCTCTTTCTCTCTCATTCTCTCTTTCAAATAAATAAATAAAAATCTTTAAAAAAAAACCACCAAAAAAATACTACAATGAACATAATTAACATTTCTTTTCCCTTGGGAAGGCACTTCATTCAGGATATTTCTGTACTTCATGATCATCATTACAAGACGCAACTTCCAAGGAATTAAAAACAGCGATGCAGGGCTTGCAAATTTTAACCTAAAGCAGATTTTGTCTATGTGGCTACTCACTGATAATTTAATTTGAAAAAGTAGAAACAATAGCTAATCATTTTACCAATAGAATGTGGCTAGCATTTAATGACGGCCCACCTGGCACGAGCAGCATGGGAGGAAAGGAGAGGCCCTAGCAAAAGAGTTCCCATCTGCTCAGCTCCGTGTCTAATCCTCAGCCTTTCTGTCGCAATGTGGGCTGACATTCATTCAGGTCCCTGGACTCAACCTTGAGAATTGAGCTAAAGAACCAAGTGTAAGTGTAGCGGGGTGGTGGGATGGGGTAACTGGGTGATGAACATTAAGGAGCGCACGTGATGTAATGAGCACTGAGTGTTATATGACTGATGAATCACCTCTACCTCCGAAACTAGTAATACATTATATGCTAATTAATTGAATTTAAATTAAAAAAAAAAACACGGTCACTCAAAGTCTGTTACACAAATGTTTAACTTACAATGCATGTCAATAATCACAGATTAAAAGTACTGTTATTTCGGGGCACCTGGGCAGCTCAGTTGGTTAAGTGTCTGCCTTCGGCTCAGGTCATGGTCCCAGGGTCCTGGGATCAAGCCCCACATCGGGCTCCCTGCTCAGCAGGGAGTCTGCTTCTCCCTCTCCCTCTCCCTCTGTGCTCTCCCTCCCTCCCTCTCTCCCTCTCTCTCTCAAATAAATAAAATCTTAAAAAAAAATAAAAAATGAAAGTACTGTTATTTCATGGAAAAAATATGCTTGGAAAAGTCTGCCAAGATAGATGTGCAGAGATGTTCCTGAAATTCAAGCAACATTTCCAGAGCAATGATGACACCGAAGGAGGCCCCAGACGAGTGCGAGGAAGGACCCCGCGCCCCCCGCCAGGCCCACTCTGGGGGGATGCGAGCACTCTGTGGGGGCAGAGAAGAAGCTAGGAGCCTTTCTCTGCTGTGGTTGGGGGTGGATCTGCGAGCTGTAAGGTGGAGGAGCAGGAAGAAGCATGGGGCAGTGGTGAGGAATCGATGGGGCCGCCCCCTGAGCAATGTGCTGGTACATGCTTAGTACACCTGAGGGACGTATAGGATTATAACTCTGCTGATATGAGGATGTGTGGCACACACTTCACAAATAATAATAATAAACTATGATACCCTTCCTTGTAAATTCCACATAGCCAATTGATTCTTACAAACTGTTTTCATTGTTTTAACAACAGCTTTGGTAAGAAACGATTCACATACTATAAAATTAACCCCATTAAAGAATGCAAATCAGTGTTTTTAGTATGTTCCCAGAGGTGTGCAACCATTGCCAATCCAGAACACTGTCGCCACCCCAAGAAGAAATCCCGTCTCCATGAGCTGTCACTCCCCGTTCTCCCTCCCCCAGCTCTTGGCAACCAATGCTCTACTCTCCTCCGCCTGAATGGATTTGCCTATTGTGGACATTTCATGTAAATGGAATAATACAGTCTGTGCTCTTTAGTGACTGGCTTCCTTCACATAACGTGTTTTCAAGGCTCATCCATGTTGTAGCACGTGTCAGTACTTCGTGCCTTTTTATGGCTGACTGCTATTTCATAGTATGGATATAACACATTTGGTTTATCCATTCATCAGCTGAGAACATCTGGGTTGTTTCCATGCGGGGGCTATTTTTTTTTTAAGATTTTTATTTATTTTTGAGAGAGCAAGAGCGGGCGAGCACACACCAGCAGGAGGCACAGAGGGAGAGAAAGAAAGAACCCCAAGCCGACTCCGAGCTGAGCACGGAGCCCGAGGCGGGGCTGGATCCCATGACCATGAGATCACCACCTGCACCAAAACCAACAGTCAGACGCTCAACTGACTGCGCCCCCCAGGCGCCCCTTCGGCTATTATGAATAGTGTTGCTGTGACCATTCGTGTACAGATTTTTGTGTTTTCAACTCTCTTGAGTGTATACATAGGAGTAGGATTGCTGGGTCATATGGTAACTCTATGTTTAACCTTTTGAGAAACCGCCCAACTTTCCCAGAGCAGGTGCGCCCTTTTACATTCCCTCCAGCAGTGCGTCCTTCCTTCTCACTGCAACCATTCTCTAGGCACAAGCATTATCTCACTGCGGTCCTTTCATTGATTTCTGCCAACATCTTCTATTACTAGCCAATCCGGGGTTGCCCGTGACTAGTTTGTATACTTCAGACACAAAGCAGGACAGGATAAAAGTGAAACACACGGGGAGCCTGGGTGGCTCAGTCGTTAAGCGTCTGCCTTCGGCTTAGGTCATGATCCCAGGGTCCTGGGATCGAGCCCCGCATTGGGCTCCCTGCTCCGCGGGAAGCCTGTTTCTCCCTCTCCCACTCCCCCTGCTTGTGTTCCCTCTCTCGCTGTCTCTGTCAAATAAAATCTTTAAAAAAAAAAAAAGTGAAACATGCCCTATTTGTCAATGACATGTATAATTGCTTTGCTTTTGAATCCCAGAGGAATACTTCCTCCTTTGGGGCTACTCACAATGTAATGGCAACAGACAAGATATATTTGTTTTTTGTTTTAAAGATTTTATTTATTTATTTGACAGAGAGAGACAGCGAGAGAGAGAACACAGCAGGGGGAGTGGGAGAGGGAGAAGCAGGCTTCCCGCCGAGCAGGGAGCCCGATGCCGGGCTCGATCCCAGGACCCTGGGACCATGACCTGAGCCGAAGGCAGACGCTTAACGGCTCTGAGCCACCCAGGCGCCCCAAGATATGTTTGTTAATGCAACCTCTCTTACTACGTTTTCTCCTTCACTTTCCTAAGTCAAGACAATCAACAAAACAATAAATCGAGCCCTGATTTAGCACATTTGCGAATTTCCGTGGTGCAAATACTTCCACCATGGTCAATTTCAAGCAGCATACCATTATATGGTATTTCCCCCATGTAGGTACAATGGTCATAAATAACCTCACAAGCAGAGATCATTGTAAAATGTAATAAAATAAACAGAAGTGATACAGTTTAAGTATGTATTCTCTTTGCTTTTAATAGAATTTATTTCAGTATATAATTTTTAGAAACGGCCGTTTATTAGCAAAATTCCTGAAAGCGCAGCGAGCGGCTCCCTCGGGCAGGGGATGAGCGCTGGCTGGGTGCGCGAACACACTCGCCACTCTGGGTCCTGTCACATGCACTGGTCCAGTCACCCCAATTCCCTCCTGCCTGTCTTCAAAACGGCGCAAAACATGCTCCAGACTACCTTAACCAGGTTACTAAAGATGATTTATGGAAACGGTAGTCAAAAAGTAGTTTAAATACTGATAGTTTTATACCGTGGGGAAGGCAGAGCCTTCCCTCCCGCACTCCCTTGGGGTCTGCAGCTGGACCTGAGAGTTAAATTGATCCAAGACAGATCCACTCGAGACAAGCACCCAGGTCTCACGTGTGCACAAGGCCCACAGGGAAATGAAGACCCAGATAGCGGCCATGGGCTTATACACCAAGTTGAACAAAAAGCACCAACTGTGGAAAAGTAACTGAAATATATATGGGAGACTAGAGAAGGTGAGAATTATTTTAATCAAGAAGGTTCCTTTCCTCCTGGGAGAGGGAGGGCATCTTTCACCAGGAGCTTCAGCTCGGGGCCTCTTGGAAGAACAGGAGGGGTCAGACCACCCTTTTAGTATCTACTGCTTCTCAAAATAACCCTGATGCCAAAGCAGCCTGCCGGAGAGCGGCATATTCTGCCACCCTTCAGCACTGTAGAGAGCTACAGCTTACACCATTAGCTCACGTACCTAGAAGGGTTTTACTTTCCTAAACACAATTTATGAGAAAACAGATGAAACCAAACAGAACTTCTAAAATTATCAACATAATGAGCAAAGTCTGTTTCCTATACGCCTTCTAGAAGCAAGCAAACTTAAGTGTATGTGTATTAGAAAAATAATAAGGAAAAATATTTTTAAAGAAACATTTCTAAAATTCACCGTACAGTTTTTGCCTTAAGAGCTCTGCCCCGGGGCACCTGGGTGGCTCAGTCACTAAGCGTCTGCCCTCAGCTCAGGTCATGGTCCCAGGGTCCTGGGATCGAGCCCCGTGTCGAGCCCCATGTTGGGCTCCCTGCTCAGCAGGGAGTCTACTTCTCGCTCTCCCACTCCCCCCTGCTTGTGTTCCCTCTCTCACTGTCTCTCTCTGTCTCTCTCTGTCAATTAAATAAATAAATAAAATCTTTAAAATAAATAAATAGCCTCCCTTTCTGAGCAATGCCTCTGAGCAGGCTCTGCTGCATCCCCCAGTACTTTTCCTCTGTTATCACCTTCAGACTCTGGAGGATGATGT